ACTGTATAATTTGGCCAAATGTGCAGAGGATGCTAAATTTACTTTTTTAATTTTATTTTTTGCTGTAGGCTACTGTATTGTGGTGCATGCCAAGTTTTTTACTGTAGGCTACTGTATTGCATTGTGCATGCAATTCTTTGGTATTTGAACTTTCTAGTGCTTTTCATCTACTGCAAGATTACTTTACAGTAGTAAAATGAAAATGATTTTTTCCCCAAAAGTTCATTGCTGAATTATACATCTGTATCTGTAATTTAATTTATGTATATTTGGTCAGTTTGAAGCACACACATCTGTCTGTCCTTCATCTCCGGTCACTGCTGCTTCCCACGTTTCGCTGCTTTATTGATACAAAACCCAAAAAGCTCAAACTCAGCACCTGATCGCATTTGTCATTACACAGGGGTTTTTTTACCCAGATTTTTTTATTTTTTTTGTATGAACTGATGAGTAAAACGTATTAATTTATTGGTACTGTGTGCAAGCGTTTGTTACAATATCAAATGGAATCAGATCATTTCTTTATATCACAGGTCATTCACTGGCTGGAGGGGTAATGGAAATGTATTTTCCATGTATACTTTATTGTTATCAAATTAAACAGATGACGTGATTAGACTTGTCCTGTCCTGTTCTGTCCTGTTTTGGACAGAGTTACTGTTTTGGATGAAGGACAGGGAAACCAATAAATAAACATCTATTACATGTCCATCTTTATCTTGAGTCATTTTCTAACTATATGTGTCAAAGGGGAAGTCGTGGCCTAATGGTTAGAGAGTCGGCCTCAACCCAAAGGTTGTGGGTTCGAGTCTCGTACCGGCAGGGATTGTAGGTGGGGGGAGTGAATGTACAGCGCTCTCTTCCACCTTCAATACCATGACTGAGGTGCCCTTGAGCAAGGCACCGAACCCCAAACTGCTCCCCGGGCGCCGCAGCAAAAAAATGGCTGCCCACTGCTCCGGGTGTGTGTTCACGGTGTGTGTGTGTTCACTGCTGTGTGTGTGCACTTTGGATGGGTTAAATGCAGAGCACTAATTCCAAGTATGGGTCACGTCACTTCACTTCAAACATTTAAAGCTCATACAAACAGCCAACTGTTAAAAGTAGTTTAAACAGTGGATATTAATTGATATGACCAAATATTTGACCAAATTTTGGGGCATGGCCTAATGCAGTGGTCGGCAACAGGCGGCCCGCAGCCAGATTATTTTGATAGCGGCCTCAAATCACTCAAATCAGAAAGACTGTGAAGGCTATGATGGCTATGGACATGAGCGGGAAGTTAGACAGTTCTCAGGGAATTTGTTTGTTCCCTCTAGATACTGAATATTTTCAGCTGAAAGCATGATTTAAACAAGTACTACAACACTTATTCACACGCAATCACCCTCTCAATAATGTCATCTGTATCCGATTTCGAATGAGCAGAAATATGTAAGAAATGCATAGATCCATAGGTAAAACAACTGACGAAAACGTATTATTTTCATCACAAACAAAATTTAGACTGCAAAAAGCAGCAATTATACCTTTTATTGCTGACAACCATGTTATTAGCTTGTCACACACAATCGCTCTCTCAATGATGCATTCAAACAAATGTAATCTTACAGTACTACTTCATCTTAAATCTGTAAGAAATGCATCGATCCGTAAAATAGCTGACGAAAACGTAGTTATTTTCATCACAAACAAAAAGCATAGCAAAAAGCAGCAATTTTTAAAAACCTTTTAATGCTGACAACCATGTTATTAGCTTGTCATGTGGTAGGAAAAAAGTTTGAACACTAGTGTTCTAATAAGCCACATCTGAATTGTACTTGTAGAGTTGAATATCAACAAAGACTTTTGCTTTCCTGTCCCAAACCCATCTTCCTTTTGCAATTCCAATGTTGCGATACAATATAGTCACACACAATATAGCAACCTGAACCATAGTGAAACCATCCTTACATTTTCATGGGACTGACAAACCCATTATTGGTTTAAAATGGAATAAAATCACATATATGTTTCATGTAAAAAATACAGAAAGATCTTCATTGTAAAGACCCCCTCTAATATTATCACACTTAGACAAAGGCCCTCATGCACACACACACACAGAGATGGCATGAGATGACAACAGCAGATGATAAATCACTCACACTGACCCCCAGTCACTTACGCATCTCACATTCTCATTTTGCACTGATGAATTCTGGTTAAAGTGGCTGTCGACCAGACATGATTCAATTACCTGTAGGGTATCAGACCGAGTCAGACAAAAATAATGATCTTTAAAATAGCATCATATGACCCCTTTAAATATAGCTAAAATAGCTCCTTGTCGCAAAAAATAATAAAAGTCGCAGCTACAATGAGAAAGTAGCTACATTTGGCGACAAAATCCCCAAATTGGCAACACTGGTGGAAAAGCTGGGAGGTTTTAAAAGAGTGCTAAGGGAATTATACAGAGGTTATTATGTGAGTATAGGAGAGAATAAGTCTAAGTGGACATCCATGACATGCGGAGTCCCACAGGGCTCGATCCTTGCACCGCTGTTGTTTAGCCTGTATATGCTCCCACTAAGTCAAATAACGAGAAAGGACCAAATTACCTATCACAGCTATGCTGATGATACCCAGATTTACCTATCCTTATCACCAAATGACTGCAGCCCCATTGATTCCCTCTGCCAATGCATTGATGAAATTAACAGTTGGATGTGCCAGAACTTTCTTCAGTTAAACAAGGAGAAA